TGGCGGGGTGGCCTGATAAACCAGCGAGCAGGGAAGCAGACCCTAAAGGTGCCACTATGCCCAGCTTACCTTCTGGGATTGACCCTTTAGATCGTTTTGCTAGTATTTACAGCATATCTATCTGCTCTATTACCATTGGCAATGTTTTGGTCCTTGTTATCCCTTTGGTCAGCCACCATCCTCACCTGTAATAGGTGGAGAACCTCTGGTACCCCCTCCCCCCCCCCTTTTTTTTTATTTGTTCTGGCAGAATGAATTTATGGCGTTAGGTCAACAGGTGGCGAACTCTGTTAATCTGCTAATTGGAAATTGAGTTGAGAGAGCAGTTTGGACTGCTTGGGGCTGTTGCCTTACTACTTAATACCTATTTATAAAGTGTTCCAGCAAAAGAGGATGTAGCCTCTATCAAACATGCTATAGTACCAGCCCTATGGTCTTAGCTGGAAAAGATTCTGGATAATATATTTATGTATTCCTATCTGGATGCTTATTACTAACTAGTATTTGTTACCAAAAGTGGTTCTACAAATGCTACTGAAAAAAAAAATTGTGTTCTGAGCATTAATAATAAAATTTAAAATGCTTTTATATCAAAGGTGCATTGTGACCAAATCATTAAAAAAAAAAAAAAACAAACACAAAAACAAAGGAGAGGGCTGTATTATAGGTAGACATTATTGGCTATCATCTGCTTTGTATTTGAAAGTGGAATCTTACATCTTTGGTAGGTAAAATGCTGATAAGACTTATGTATTGTATATATTTAGCTAACGTAGTTGCATTATTACACACCAAAAGGCATGTGTGCCAGGATGTTTCTCCAGGATGCTTTTGAACTGTTCTAGCCATATGACAACAGTCATAGATAATCCTAAACCATTAATCAACAGATTAATCCTAAACCATTAATCCAGCAGTATTTACAGTATAAATACAAGCTTGTGTATTTTTTCTTCCTACCATTTAAACATACAGTAGGATTTGAAGTTTTCATGTTTTCAGGCACGGAAAAGAGGTAAAAAAAGAACGCTCTCCTAGACTACTAACTGTTTCAGGATTATCGGGTCACACTTTGTACTCCTGGGTCTGCGCACACAAATGTTATAAACTCAGTGATTTTTGAAAAACTTGACACTGTTAATTCTGGAAAAAAAAAAAAAAAGGTGGAACTAGTCATATGCAACATGGAACCCCAGTGAGCTGATCACTTGTGCTCGAGAACCCATTTATAATTTGAATCGTATTACCTGGTTGCAAGCCATGCTGGAGATCATCACGAACCAAATAGCTCATGCTCTTGATCTATTAGCAGACCAAGCTACCCAAGTATGCACTGCACTTTTTCAAGATCACATGGTTCACACCTACTGGTGGAAGAAGGTGTTTGTGGTAAACTCTATGATTCTAATTGTTGCTTAAAAATAGATGATAATGGACCTATCGCTTAATTTCCCATTTTTTCCCTTCCTTTCCTATCACTGCTTTCTCTCTTTCAGTTAATAAAATGGGTGGACTGACAACATCTGACCTCATATGTGTCTTAATCTCACTCAAAGGGCTTGAACCTGAAATGCGTAGTTAGTCCAGCTGCCCCTGGCGTCCCAGACTTGTCTGAGGTTGGCTAGAAAGCAAGGGGGCCTTCCTCTCCTCCAAACAAAATTGGATTCTAACATCATGCCTGTAGGTAGTAACCTGCCTTGATCTGTAAGGTGCTCTGGAGAGCCACTGACTCATCTCAATGTGCTTCTCACCTGGACAGTGGTGGCTCTTCTGTGACAGCCCCAGGAAAGCCTGTGACAGGGTTTCACTTATCTCTGAGTTATTCGGGTTCCCCCATTGTGCCTTTGTGCTCCTTCATGTTTGCGGGGAGGAGCTTTTTAATCGCAGAACAAATGATGGAGTTGCTGGACAATGACTGGCTAGAGTCATAGACAGTTATAAAACCTGACCACGGCTTAATTTTAAACCTTGGTAATTCACCTTCTTTTTCCTGGCAATACTGACCCTGCTGCTGTAGCCATTCTAAATGGTGAATGAAAAAGAGGATGATTTTCTTTCTCAAGTTCATGACAAACTGTCATTCTGCCAGTTTACTGTTGCTGTAACTTACAGCTCTCTCTTCAGGTACCAACTTAAATAACTGTTAATTACAGCTACCAGAACAATCCTGCCTGCACTTGGTTGTTTTCACTATTCAAGTGCTGTCCAAATAGGTAATTAATTTTAGTGGCAACTAAAGTGAATCTTCTATCCTAATATTATGTATGTTTCAAATCCAAGCTGAGCCCATTTTACAATAGACAAAACAGGCAAAAAAATGTGGGTAAAATAGGAGAATTTGTAAAAAGTTGACTAGAATACTACTAATTTTTGAGTTCTCTTAGGTTATTTTTCCTTCCTCAGCTTTCTTAGTCTGAGAAAAACAAGCAGGAACAGAAGAAAACAAAATTGACAAATGAGTAAAATAAACAATTAAAAGGCATAGTATACAGGTTACTTCAGATAATAAAGAATGCCTTTACTGAAGTTTCTTCAGTTCTCCTATTTATAATTGGCAGAAAAAATACTGATCCAGTTTGTCTTCTGGAGTGGAGGGATGGTTAAAGGCATGAATACATCTCAAGCCAGTGAACTTAGGAAGCTTAGCTAAATTATTTATGCAACTATAAAAGTAGCAGTTCAAACAGACTTGATGCTGATTTATTTTCTAAATCCTGCTTGTTTAAAAACAGCTGTAGTATTTGAAGTTTAACAGTTCATTTTTAAGTTGAGAGATTGTATTTAAATGTCAAGTAGATGGTCTATTTGTTTACCTTTTGTTTAAAAAAAGTTGGAATAATAAAAAGATAAGGGTAATATATGACATTTCACAGATAGCTCTGTGTGTAATTACAGAAATACTACAACCACTAAGCTGCTTTCAAGTGATCCCAGACAAATACATCAGCATAATATACTGCATGTATTTTGTCTTGAATGGATGAGTTCAAAAGACCACAAGCTCTAGTAAAGGCACTACTTTGCTGAATTAGCTTTCAGGTTGAATACATGGCATGGGCTTGCTGTTCAAATATATATTGGCATTCAACGATCTTTTGTTAAAAAATAAATGTTAGTCTAGATACCTGGAGATAAGTCATGTTCCACCATGCTGTGTGTAGAATTCCTGGCCCCCACCTTTTCTTTTTGTCACTATTCAGTAATGGCAAATTCTTATTTTTCTGCATGACCCTCAGTTCCTCAACTGGAATTTTTTTCTTGGGTACAAACAAAACTGCCTTGGATGAAGAGTGTGGTCTTATCCACTACTATAAAAGCACTTAATTAAATGATCCCAGGTACAGAACCTATTTAGCTGGCTGACTCAGGGAAAGCATTCCATGCTAGCCAATTTCTGTTCCACATACAAAATTCTCCTGGTATTACAGTGTTCACAGAACTCAAGTAAAAACAGGATTAAAACCCTGTATTTTGTTTTCTACAGTATCATCAAAAATGGCACAGTAATGATATATAACAGCTGGTAACAGTTTTTTATCACTCTAGTGAGGGTGCAAAACTGATACTAGGGTTGACTAGCTTACCTGCCTCAATGAGGGAGGACACTCTTGTGCTAGCTGGAAGCAAGAGCTATCACCTGATTCATTCCAGCAGCCCCAGTGGGCTATTCTTTCCTATTATTCCTGCCACTCCTTATATTCCTGCATTCGTTCCTGAAAACCCCTGCAGCCCTTGAGCCCATGGATGGTTGTGTAATCTAGAGTTTACAGTTTTGGAAATAAAGTGATATAGACCTGGAATGAACTTCTGGTTGGAATGTGAACCAGAGCAGTAAATTTCACTGAGCCTGGGTTAGTTTACATTACTAATAAAACAGTGCAGTGAGTTAAATAGGAAGCTGAGGAAATGAAAAAAGGCTAACTAGAAGACCAGGTTTTATGAGTCCCCTGAAGACTCAGATTTTGCAGAGATTTTTTTTTTTTTTTTGGCCTTTTTTTCACCCTGCCTTTCTCTATGCAGTGCTGACTGAGGTAGAACATCTGGTAGAACCACAAGAGATCAGCCTGCATTTGGCATATGGATGTGAGAGGAGGAGACCTGATTTTTTTTTTTTGCTAAAGGTTCTGCTTCATTAGGTGTTCAGAGATATAAGGAGCTTTAGCTATGTTGCAGTCATACTACAAACAGTTTATGGTCTCTGTGCAGGAAGAAAAGCAGTCTCAGGCCACAGCTGTATTAGATTTCACTTAAAAGGCATTTATGAAGAAGGTTGTCAAGTGTGTGAGCACAGAGAACACCACTTCCACTTCGAGAACAACTTGAGAAGAGACAGTGTAGCTGTGAGGTGTTTAGGTGTTTCCTTGTAGTTGCTAACCCAGTACCTCTACATTTCTAGAGCAGCACTGTGCCTGGGTTATTTTCACATTATTCAGTATGTTATGTTGTGAGTTTAATTAAATAACTCCAGTCTTCTGTTTCTTGAAAAATCATGGTATTATTGCTACTGGGAAGCTGAAGAATATTGTTATTTATAAATAAAAGGTCCATACTTTCTTTTGAATGTAACATCCTTAAAACAATGTTCTGTGTAGAAAATGACTTTCCTCACCAGTAAAACATTTTCAACACCACTCTGAGAAGATGAGACAAGTAACTCAGGCTTTTGAGACTGAGGACCAATCTATGTTAAGTACTAGTTAAAAAGAAATGGGATTCATTTCTGACAGATCTCATTTGGTAGATCACTATCATCATGGCTATTCAAGGATCATACTAGAGTTCTCAAAATGTAAATGGTCAGCTTCATTCATTATTAAAACTAGGAAAATAAATGGTGAGGAAGAATATATTCTGCTCAGAACCAAAGCGCTGGTTGTTCAGAGTGTATTTTGATGCACTTCATACATTTGTTAGCAATTTGCTTAAAATCTAAACTGTAGAATAACTTAGTAGCAAAGTTTATCAGCAACACCATTTACTCCAAGAAATCCAGGATTTGATGTAGTAACACATTTATTGATCACTTTACCAACTAAAGATACAATTTTATACAGTCAATCAACAGCAGTAACATACTTTATGAGAAGCTATGCTTTGAAAAATGGTGTTTACAATATGTATTTCACTACAACTTTTCAAGCCAAGCTTTTACAGTGCTAATCAAACTGCTGTACTTGAACTTTTTCCCTAAAACATCAACATTGTTGTAGACAAAGTAGCTTTTCCATTGTTAATGTGGGTTTAGAATTTAACAAGACAACTTTAAAAGGTTTAAAACATCCATAACATTGTCATTACTATAACATTCACACTGATAAAGTGATACATTTAATACTTTCTAGCATTAATAAACAGTGTAAAAATATATTGCATATATATATATATATATAAATTTGTTTCCTTTTCCTGAAAAAACCTAGTACAAACTAGTAGTATATGATCCCCCTTCAAGTTTCTTTTACTTATTTTAAAAATTGAATAGTAGTAGTTTTAAATTAACAGAAACAAAGATATGGAAACAGAGAATCACTGTTGTGCTCCCCCATAACCTCTCATCGTGGTTACTAAACATATTAACCCCTTGGTAATGGTGGTTCCATTTTTGCTAACACCAGTTAGCATTTTGGCACTGACTGCAGCGGGGATAAGATTTTGCCCAGTGTGCTTTGCACTGGATGGTGCCAGGCCCCCTTCGTCAAGTGGTTAAAAATCTTTGTTTAGGATGCATTTATCTATCATAGTTAAGATTAAGAATGGTATGCTCAAACTGTTCATTTGCAATAATGAAAACAAAGGTTCAGTGTTAAATCAGTGAGAAGAAAAGTAAACTTGTAAGGTTAAATGATCATGTAAAATTTTTACCATGTTGAAAGTTTCACAGTGAACACAGTAGGCTAGTACAGTTCAATGTTAATGTTTGCAATGCCTGCAATTATAAATATTGCAAGTAATATTAGCACACAGCAGCTTCCTAGTTTTCTGGACCAAGATGAAAGACAAATGAAAATAAGAACAAGAAATAGTAAGATTCACTGAAGGTTTTTATCACACTGTACAGTGCTCCAAGGAAGACTATGTCAAGACCTATCGCCATATCACAACTATTTAATGACAAAACAAAGACAAAACACTTTTGCCTCTACACTTTATGATCAGGTCCTGACAGCATGCACATCCAGATTTGTGTAAATAAAGAATTAAAACTTCTAAACCAAATTAGAAATGTATGTTGGAACAGTGTGGACAGATAAATAAGCTAGCAAAGGAATAAAGCATAATGTGGATAAATAAATGATTCATGACTGAAGAAAACCAACCTCAACATTCAAAAATTATACTTCTGTATAAATATATTTCTCCTGTAATATTTAAATCTGTGAAACATAAAACCTTGCTAAGAATAAACTTCAATATACTCATCTAACATTGACCATTTCTCTGCTTTACAGAACATAAAAACAAATTACTTTGTATTACAAGCATTAAACAAAACATTTTCCCTGCTGCAATAGTTTGCCAAAGCTGATATATTCTAAACCCAGCACAAAGATATACACAAATACACATTTGCTGCATCCTATAACTTCTTTTTGTCTATGACCTTGCCATTGCATACACTACAGTGCTAACAAAAGTAGTTCACCAACAGGATTTTATAGGGGACATCAGAGTTTGTAGGTTAACTGACCTTACACAAAGCATTTAAAGAGCAGTATGTATTTAGCATGAATATTACAGCATTTTAGCTGCATTAATATAACCCTATTTAACTGAGCCCAGGTTGCATTATTTCACATTATTTAATTACTTTGTTTAAAAATAGCAAGCATACTGAAACTCATCTGATATAAATTGGACCTGAAAATAATTCACCATTGTGGGGATACAGATTGCTACCTTTTTCTTTTTATTTTTTTCATCTATAATATAGCTCCTGATCAAAATGTAAAGATGGATGAAGTATGAGTGTATTTTTAGGGCTACATTTTTAATTAATTTGAATGTAACTTTATGCATGTTTGTGATCTGTTCTGAAAAAAAACATGCAAAGTAAAAGAAAAATCTTGAATAAAGATAACTGAAGGGCAAATTATCCTGAATGTTATGTTAAAGACCTTTACAAATGCTTACAACAAAACTTGCTTTGTACAGTGCCATAAATTTTACAAGCTAATTCAAACATTTTCTGACAACAAAGAGCTGTATCTTAAACTTGTTTTGAAATCCACCTTCTCCATATGGGTTTTGAAGCAAGGCAATATACTGAAAAACCTAACAAAATACTAAGTATATTACAGTTATTTCTCCTGGCAAAAATTAATTACTTGGACAATTAAGACATGGATGTTCTATCTGCAATATTATTTAGCTTCCTGAAGCACCATTCTTAGCTGGGACATCTTTCAAAGCATTGGTTTTGAGTTTAATGAGCAAGCATGAATGGAACTAAAGGTCTCTCACTAGTTCTAGGATTCTGAAGACTTCAAAAGAACATCGCAGTCCATCATTTCCAGCTTATATTACGCAAGCCAAATGGACACTTGAGTGCACAAGATGAGTAACTGAATGTCTAAATGGTATTTTATGTGCAAACACTCCAAATACAGGAGGTACACGTGTATTAAGTTGAAGCACTCCAGACTGTGAGAATTTCACACAAGTTTGTGACCTGTCATTGTGCTTCAGGTATTTAATTTTATAAAGGTCCATGCAAGACTCAAGTCCATAGGCATTGCACAGCAGTCCTGTTTCCTGTTCCCACCTCAATATACCATGACTTTGTACTTACTAACTGATGATGAACAACTGCATGTATACACAGTGTCAACTTGCTTCACAAAGTTGGGGCCAAGGAAAATATAGGGCCCATGCAGGGCATAATTTTAAATAGTGTCTTGAGAGCACTCAGAGGAAATCTTGCTTTCACCCCAACTCTTCCTCTCTGCTACTTCCTCACTATGGAGAAACTCTTCTTGTCACACCAAGTCTATTTTAGAATCACTGAAGAGTGATTCCCCCAAGAAATAGGAACAGAGTAGATGTGTAAACACATAAAAGCCTCTTTAGATCTTGACCTTCATGCTATGGAGGGAGAATGGCAGTGTCACCAACTGACCAAGCTGAACGTCATTGACTGCAGGACTAGAGTTTGGCCCTAATAAGATTTAAGGTTTGGATCAACATCTATATGGTTTAATTACTTAGTTGGATCCAAAGAGTCTGCGTATACACACACAAACCTGTACAAGTCTTGTGTATTACATTACTAATAGGCAAGCCAATAGCATAATAGTCACACTACAAACAATGTACACAAAGGTGTAGTTACTTTGGCACACACTCAAGGCTAACAGTCAGTTAAGAGGACACATACTAGTACAACACACTACATTTGCTCTATCATGAAGGTAAAGGGGTTGTTTCTTGGCCAGTGCAAACAGAGAATTCTCATTCATGGATGACAGGCATATGCCCCCAGAATACATGTCTCACTGAAAGGCAGGGTTATGTTTTGAATATCGTAAGCGCAGGCACAAAGAATTAAAATTAATTAAACTATGGCAAGCCTTAAGGAAAAACCCTATCAATTACAACTTGAAAGTTTTGAATTTGGAGAAAGATATACAAGAATTTTCTCTGCAGATGGCTACAGATGGCTGGGATACCTACCACTTGCAAGCCAAACCCATAGCAGTCATTTGCCTTTTAGTTCTGGCTAATTCCAGCTATAATAAAAAAATATTAATTGAGCCAATAGAGGGAAAATATGGGTGACAAATGCTAATTCATGAACAAAGCTTTTTATAATGCCAAAAAGTAGTCCCAAAAAAAGGAAATGAGTGTAAACCTTATTAGGTACCCATGTCCTTACTTCAGACATGACATTTAGTTACAGTCTGGAGTCTGGTGCACAGGAAGAGCATATTTGCTACAACACTTCAAGGGTTGAAAATGGGTCACCTTCTGCAACTCCTGAGTTATCCCTTCCCCTCATCTCTGAAATACCAGCTGTACTTTATGTCCTGAGAGTTGAGGGAATGGCAGATGAACAAGAAAATGTACTTCGCCTCATTCCCAAGCAGGCCTTGAACTTATGGCTAACATTCAGGCTACTATTTAGCCTTTTAATTTCCTACAGGTATTGGTGGAAAAGTAAGAGCTTAAGTAGGTGGCTGAACCCCTAATGCACAGTTACATACTCTGCTTTTATTCATAGCCCTTATCTTCCACACCAAGTGTAGCAAAAAGGAAAAAACTTTCTGAAATACTATCTTTCCAGCCACAACTTCCCTTTGTCACTGTCATATCAGAATGACTTCTTTTCATGCATCTGTCTGATTGAGTTTTAAAACTATCCAACTCTAGAAACAAAGAAGTGTGTTCCTCAAAATAAAATACTGCTATTTGAAGCATCTTCTCAGGTTCTGATCCAAAGCTTACTATGCCACTGAAAGCATTTCAAAGACCTTTGCAACAGGTCCATTCCAAGTACTTAGGTTCATGGCAGGGATTTTATACTGTCCCAGTAACGCATAGTAAACTCTGGCAGAACCCCAGCTAGTTCTAAGCAGAGTAGCTCAACTTATTATCAATGTCAGCTTGGATCAGTTCACATCCTCAATTCTTTTGCATGCCTTCTATCGTATGAGTGTGCTGGTCTCTCTCACACTGACCTAGCAACTTAAAACCTAATTATACCTTAAAACCTTCCTAACCAGTCTGGCATTACTGACACTCAGTATTTGGGTACCTGAGAAAGCCTGTCACTTGTGCACCTCAGGTTAAGTATCACCTGATGTGCCAGACAAGGCATCTAGCTAGCAACAAACAGCCAGATCAACAGTGCTGAAAGGGCTCTGCAGTATACTGGACCTCACTCTTCATCCAGGCTGGGTCCGGATCTTTTCAGTTACCAGTGAGTTATGAGTCAAGCCTTAAAGTCAATTGGAAGAACAGGGACACTCATTTTGCCTGTAACTGAGCTGAGGGATTTATCAATGGTTAGAGGCTTAGCCCTTTTATTCATTAAAAAACCAGGTCTATCCTGAAGCCTTTTTCAGGTGCACAGGCACCAGTGACATAGAACAAGGTTCTCTAGACAGTTCACTACCATGCTGGAATAATTTAGCCATTGTTGGTATCACAGTATGCTGTTTTCTGCCTCAGAGTGTGACAGGCCACCAGTGCAACACAGGAGTGGATAATCCTTCATTCCATAGAAATTTTTCTTCAAGAATAATGGGTAACTCTTGGAAAGGTTTCACAAAGCTGGATGCTTCTTATCCTGGGCATCCTTACATACATCAAAAAATCTTCCCAGGTAACCAGAGCCAAGCCATTTAAATCTTTACAAGATCATGTGCTGAGTTTTGGCAAACCTCCCTCCCTCTTCAAAACAAAACCCAAAACAAATTATGAACAAACAAACAAAAAATATCTCTTAAGTCCACAAAGAAGTCTTTGCCTTTGTTTGTTATTGTTGTTTTGGTTTCAGGCTGATGTATGGGCTCAGAGTCACTGGAGGCAAAGTTACAAGAAAGGCTACCATTCAGTGTCAGAAAAACAAAACATGAACAGTTTAAGGGCTGAAATCCAGTGCTCTGTTTCCAGACACTGGGCAAATACAGACTGCTGACCTGCATGGCACACGACAGCACACACTGCTCACTAAATTTTATATACTCTGAGTGGGATGCTGATATGGGTCATGGGAGAGCAATAAATTTATTAACCTTTACTCAGAGTCAAACATGAAAATCAGTGCGTGAGCTCTTTTTAAAAGAAAGCAAAGAAGAACTGCTAGCAGCTGGTTTTGAATACTGAAAATCTTATCTTTCTTAACTGTTAGAGAAGCAGAGTAATACATTAGGGTACTTGTTCAGCTCTTGTGGAAAATTGGACCAGCCTTTTCTCTCCTTTTTAACCAATATGAGTTATTTTTATTCCTATTAAACAGTTTTGGCATTCTGGGCCCCAGGGAGGTTGCATTCAGCTGCCCGTACCTTAAGCTTGTCAATTTCTACTTCTATAGCAGTAGAAAGCCATTCCCATCAATACTATTACTCCCAAGTCAGGCAGCAAAAGTGAATAGAGAATCAAATCCCTTGGTTTCAAACAAATCTAACAAAGTGTAGCTCAGCTATAATAGTATATTTTTGTGGGCAAATTGCACCTAATTATATGTATATTGTAAATGTCCTTATTCCAAAGGGCTGTAAACTTTCCTTATATGTGTTATAGCTTAAAGGGAATATGTGCCAATGAATAATAACATTCACTTAATAGCAATCTGATTGGCAGTGTTTAGTCATAATCAATATTTTAAAGCATTATTAGCTTAATGCCCCCTTCATTTCAAATGTGAGGCAGTCCAAACTTGAAAACAGGCTGCAAAAAGCTTTAACAGACCTTCTTAGTAATGTCTTATTCCTTACCTCTCCGGTCAGTACAATAGCTCCATCCAAATCCAGCCAGTCAGAACCATGCTACAGTACACACAGTAACAAGCACAAAGTATAGACAGGAAGAAAGTAAGGGCTGGTATTTTCCACTTCTTTCTTTTGACATAAAATACTTTAGAACCTGTATTGGCCTAGAAATAGCTTTTTTTTCAGTTTTTCATGAGTGGTGTATGACATTTACAGGCTAGCACCTTGTATATTACAACCACTTACTCCCCAATAGTATATTGTTGAATGTTTTAAGGAAAGTGCCAGATCCTATATAAGACATTTAAAAATAAACCCCAAAACAGTAGTCAAATCAAACTGCATAAATAATGGGATATTCTTCAGAAAGAATGCTATGAAAGACCCTCTTTTCAAGAGGTTCTCTTCAACATTCTCAGGGCAACTGGACATTTAGGAATGTTTGAGATCTTTTGCTTGAATTGACAAAGCATGGTATAACTGCTCTTGACTTTGGTGGGGGTTTGGTTGGTTGTTTTTTTTTTTAAGCTCAACAAATAATGTATTTTTTGTACTGATATATTTATTTTTGCCAATATATGCACAAGGAATGTAATGAAGCGGCGTTGTGCTGCAAGTAGCTCAGCAGATGTTGAAATCAGTTCCAGTTCCTGAAAACAACTTCTTGACAACATAGTCTTAGCATTCACAATAACCAAAACATGTGGGATTCATCTACATCATTCTTACAAATATATTCTCTTCCCCCTCTCTTTCTCCCTCTGTGTTCTAAACCCTCAGCCTTACTTGTTCCCTTGTACTTTATGATCATATGTGCCTGCATGCTTATAGCCAGATACGTATCCTGAAGCATCCACCAGATCTTCTCGGCCAGCTTTGCCTTTTCCTTTCCCACTGGGATCAAATCTCTCTTTGTGAGAACCCGTGAATTTTGATGTATCTGTAAGGCGTGATACAGTTGGAGATGAAATGGCTTTCTATTGGAAGAAAGAAACACATCAGAAATCAATTATTCTTAATACAGATATTTGTATATGCTACCGACATTTAAACCTTATAACAATCACATAGCCAAGAACAAAATAGTGCAAGTTTTGTCAAAAACTTTTGGCAGAGACTTTCAATATGAGACACTTCTGATTGATAATCAAGTTCTAAGCAGCAAAGATATGAAGAAGTCATAAGAGAACAGCCATGTTCAAAATCCATTACATCAACATCCAAGTAATAAAAGTCTGGCTCCACCTATACAGAAAAAGCAAACCAATACAGCTAGAGTTCATTGCTTCAAGAGACAAATTTATTCTAAAATCTAGGATTCATGAGAGAAGTAACTAACTAGGAGGACTGAAAGTTATTTTCAATGTTTGCATATTAGCAGTCTATGAAAATGGCACTGAGCAAAGACTTTCCTCTACATTGCTTCTGCTGAGTCATATCAGGCTACTTAAAAATTGAAAGTTTTGCTGTCATTGAGACAAAGAAAATTTGACTACACTAGCAGAAAGAAAAAGATATTTCACAGAACAATATAGGAGCATGCTACCTGTGTGCTAGGACTGGGAGCAGTCTCTTTGATCCTTAAGTTTATATTTTAAAATCAGAAGAGAAAGGGCACTAAAGGAGAACAGAAAACACAAAAGATTTTTGTGTAGTAGCAGAAACAGAGCGAAGATGAACAAAGACTGATAAAATTTGGGTGTCTTATGTGCGCCACCCCGTTAAGATGCATTTTAGAGACAAAAGTGACATGGGCTTCCTTGCAGAGCATTTATCTTTCATCAAAAACCTCATTCATGTCCTGGTTTCAGCTGGGAGAGAGTTAATGTTCTTCTTAGTAGATGGCATAGTGCTGTGTTTTGGATTTAGTATAAGAAGAATGTTGATAGCTCACTGATGTTTTAGTTGTTGATGAGCAGCGCTTAGACTAGTCCAGGACTTCTCAGCTTCCCTTGCTCTGCCAGGTGCACAAGAAGCTGGGAGGGGGCACAGCAGGGACAGCTGACCCAAACTGACCAATATGGGCTATTCCAGACCATATGACGTCATGCTCAGTATATAAACTGGGGGGAGTTGGCCAGGGCACAGTGACCACTGCTCAGGGATGGGCTGGACATTGGTCAGCGGGTGGTGAGCGGGTGCTTTTCCTGGGTTTTGTTTCTCTCTCTCTCCCTTTGTTTTCCTTTTCATTACAATTTATTATTTTATTTCAATTATTAAACTGTTCTTATCTCAACCCACAAGTTTTCTTTCTTTTGGTCTTCCGATTCTCTCCCCATCCCACCAGGGGGGGAGTAAGCAAGCGGGTGGGTGGTGCTTGGTTGCTGACTGGGACTAAACCACAACATGCCTCTAACCCACCCTCAGCCCAAATAAATGCTCATTAATGAGACCTGACAAACAGACTTTTGAAGTAACACACAGCTCTTCCCTAGGATGACATTCATTGAATATCTTTTAATGCCGAACATTAAAAGATCAGAGACTCCAAAAAGATGCTTGAATCTGTGCCAAGAGGAACAGGATACCTGGATTCAGTTAGACAGTGAATGAATACTGTAACTTGTACACCATGGAAGCCCCATTTCCTCAACGCCATTTAAATAAAAGCTGTTTTGAGAGAATCTGTCCACAGACATAACTATTCAATGAGAATCTCAGGTTGTAAACTTTTGCTTTTCTCCCTCCAAACATATCCACCACATGACACATACAATACTGCACTGCTCAGCATTATTTTCACATAAGGCCCTGAGGGGAAAGGTGTTGTGGAGGTGTGAGTTCTGTCACTATCTGAAAGAAAATGACCACTAGAGCATTCATTTCTCAAAACAGCATTACTGAATGACCTTTAAGAACTTATGTCTTGCAGTACTATTTGCAAAAGGGTTATTTTTCTATATTGAAAACCAGAAATGAAGACAATGCTTAAGAAGGAAGTATTGCTGCTTAATACATACAATTTTCTTGTCCACATTGGCCTGCTAGCACCTTATAACCAGGAAACCTGTTATCTAGCCCAGCTAGGTAAAATGAAAATGCAATAAAAATGTATAAGCAGAGACATCAAAAGCAGCAAAGTAAAAACTCCTGGCTTGGTGCCCAGCTGAGAATTTATTCTTTCTGCTCCTTAGGGCATTAGTAAATCAAACAAGTTGTATGCACAGTCATGTAACAGAACCAAAGGAATGCCTAGCCACTGGAAATTATGCTGTCAGCTCAGGGAAACAAAGACATACACTTCTGTAAGAGTGCCTAACCTGTTTGCTTCACCCTGGGCACAGGCACTAAGAATTCTATGCTATTTTATGTCTTACTTGTCAATCACTATTTTGTTTGGTAAGTGAAGGGAAAGATAGGGGCTTGTACCTTGAACAAAAATTCTGGCACAAACCAGTAGGAATAAGCTTTTATATGGTGTAGTGCTTCCTGTTACACAGCGTGCATGAGCAAGAGCCCAGCCACTACTTGAAGACAGTCAGACTGTTTGACTGAACAAAGTCTTTCACCAACCACCATTTTGGACCATGAAGCATCTATAGTCATGGGCAGTATATGTGTCTCACCTAACTTGTATAAATACATGGCCTCCCCATTTCATTTTAATTTTAAAAACCCTGCAGGTCATAACAGCTGCAGGAACATACTAATAAAGGCTGACTGTAGGACAGAATACATGTGAGGAAGTTTCTTATGCTTGTTTAAGTTATTACTAGCTCATTCCCCCTCCAAAAGAACATATGATGCTTCTTACTAAAGGCATTTTCTTAACTACTAGCACACTTATTGTGTGTTCTTAACAAACTAAGAAAATGAAGATCCCATCTGTGAATCTCCCCATGTAAGCCAGCAAGGAAAAGGCCAGGGCACAATACTTGTCAAAGTACCTTTCATTGTCCCTAACACCAGAAGCTGCTGCTATAGAACATGCAAGAAAGCTTATATAATCAAAGGACTAAACTTTGCCCTATGATTACTTATATAACACTATTGCTAAAAGCCACAGTGACAAAAGCTGTTTGTACTGTAAACATGGAAATACTCCAAATGCAAGACAGGGGCAATATTCAGTATAAAGCTAATTAAACTTAACACATACTTTCCTTATATTTCATCACCACTGCCTTACGGAAAATCAGTTTTCTCTAAATGTGCATATACTCTGGATTCCCACATGCAGAGAGTAGTCTCAGAAACTCTAGTTGACTGCCTTTCCCTTTACCAAATTCATTCTCAGGACAGACTGCTATTCTGAGAATTTGGTCAGTTTAATCACTATTCAGAAAAAGGAGGACTACAGCTTCTACTCTGTTTCAAAGGGGTGGCATGATCGATCTGAAATTTGCCTCAATACCCAAATTATAATACAAATACATAAGAATTCTGGTACAGTAACATAATTGTAACAGACATACTAAGACTTGTATGAGTGCAATATGAAAGGAAATGCATGTATATTAACATGCAAGAAGAAATAGTAAAATGAGGATTAATAGAATGACCTATGTCAATAACAAAAGGACGTTCCCAGGAAGCTACTCCCAGGACATCATTCCCAGTGATAAACAGCCTGCAGCAGATCTGGTAAGATCACAACACACATGGCATGCCAGAAAAAAAAGGTGCACCCTGACAACAATATGACAGCAACAAGGTTGCAGCATGAGCCTTTCCTTTTCCTGTTAGTTTACTAGGAAAACAGCGACACATTTCAAACCAAAAAGGAAAACAGCAGATGGACAACAGCTTGGCCTAAAATTGATGGAGACTGAACTAGCATCCTGAAGCAAACGACCATTCTGTAACAACTATTGACTCTTAAAGGTCATGAAACATCTATCCAAAAACTAGTTTGTCATTGTCAATCATGAAGAACCCAGGAGACATAATGACATCTCAGTAATGGGCATCCCTTGTCATCAGTGTCCCCCACACAGAGGGGATGCAATGTGTGTGCCAAAATATGACCAATTTGGCTCACACCTCTTTGTGCTTGACTGTAAGATTGTGAGCAAATGAGATCTATTAGAAAATAGGTACATGTGAATGAGAATCAGCTTACTAGAGACTTTGTAATTTTACCTTCACCTTCTGTATTTTACCTTCTCCTTCTGTAGGATCTTGTACTGAGTGGGGTTTTTGGATTTTGTTGGTTTGTTTGTTTTCCCCTACTAATTTCCCTTGGTATCTCTCCATTTGGAATTTGCCAGTCATCAGTGTACAGATTTCGCATCCACTACTTCCTCCTGGTGTCTCTTTCATAACAGTGTACATCCTCTGGTGAAGACTTGTGCTGTGACTAACATGAAAACATTCTTTTATAACTCATCTGCTAGAGTCAAGTGTGTTCCCAGTAGAACAGCAATACAGCAAATGGTTGAAATACAAAAAAAATAGCTCTATGGTTTGGCACCTCTTTGACATACCTCAAAAAAAAAAAATCACACTTATTTAGCAGACAACTTGGGACAATGGTTCAAATCTTTGACTTTCATGTCTATTAATTGAAAGTCGATATGTGGTGTATGTGCAGGGAGAAAGAAACAACATTCTAAGTGAAGGTAAATTAACACCACAGATTAAAAAAATACAATCTTTTTGTCCTGAAAAACAGTTAAACAAAACCTAAAGCCCCAGCACAATGAACATCACAAATCCAAAGCAAGAATAACAGTGATCCCACATCCTGTGTTCTTTCAGCGCAGGATGGATCAGGAGACTTCCTGCATCACAGGAGTCACAGTATGTGAAATAAACATGAAGACAAGTAGCGGCAAGGTAAACATTCTTTCTCCAAATTGCTTTTAACTGAGTAAGAACTGCAGCCTTCTCCTAAGTTGCATGTGAAGTCACCCCTTCCCACATGTGACAGAATATTACGATTGAAATATAGCAATCCCTCTTGGTTTCCTGCTGGCACAATTTCTATGAAATGGAGCCTCACTTTGTTTTCAATGGTACAGAATTCAAGCAATTT